GAAACTAGGACACTTACAGAGCCGTAAAACTAGTTTCCTAAACACTAAGGTCTTGTTATTTCTTTCCATCTATTTCCAATGGATGTCAGAAAAGGGTAAAATCCATTTCTGTTTGGGGCTGGAGAGAAAACTAGTATTTAATGACCCTGGTTGTTTTCCTAACGTTTGTACATCCAGTGATTTAAAGGGTTCTCCTGTGGGCATTTGTCACCTGTTCCACACAGTGACCAATAATTAGAGCCAAGTGAGACATGGAATGGCCAGGATTTTTAGCAGGTGCAAATTAGCAGCCGTCAAGCTGACTTCCATTCCGAGGGAACATGACCTAAAGCAACTGGCCACATATTTCTGTGTTCCCAGGGTAAAACAAACTTGCACTTGTCGTAAGCGGCTGCTGCAGAAAATGCCCAAGAATGTGTAACCCAGTAGGTAACGTAGTGTTCTCTTTGCCTTCGGAAATGAGGTGGATGAAACCGCTGTTATTTAAGCTCTGCTGTTCTCAAAAAGAACAGAATCAGCACCTTTTAAATTGCAATTACCAAAATGCATTAAGCATGCCAGAGAAAAGGAAACGCGCTTCCCTTTTGTGCTATTTCCAAAATATTGATGCTCACAAAATTTTACCAGTTGCAAAGCAGCTTTTCAATGGCTGGCCCCTGCGGACTGAGAGCCCCCGCTGGGTGTGAGCCCCGCGGTGCCGCTGCAGACTGCAGTACCTGGCCCTGGTGTTGGGAGAAGTGAGGGGTGGCCTTACTGGCCCCAAGAATCTGAAAACGCAGGACTCCCAATGCAGGAGATGCACACCACGATGGGGAAGAAAAAAAAAAAAAAGGTTTGGGGAGGTTTGTGCTTGTCCCAAACCTAGGCTGTTTTTTTTTCAGAAACAGCAAAATGCACTTTCCAGGGATGGGGGGTAGGTGAAGTCTTCTGTGAAATTTTAAAGCCCTATTAACTGTGCTTGAGAACAAAGCATTCCCCCAGGCTGGGAGAGAGGTGGAACCTCGCAGGAATCTTACTGGAAGTAAAGGAAAGAATCAACAACAAATTTTACTACTGAAGAAATGAAACATTCTTCTAAAACTGTTGTTGGCAGAGAATAGTTAAGATGACCTAATGCAGACAACTGAGCAAAAAAGAGCTACCAACACTAGTAATCCTAAATAGAAATCCTCGGAAAATTCAAACTTAACTGTGCACAAATTCTAAGGAGAAGAAAGTCAGGAAGATGTGGTGTTATTGTGGTTTTCTAAAGGACTACTTAAAGATGAATGATCAAAGCATAAAATACACTTATATTAAAAATGTCAAATGTAGAGTTAAAGTGAGCCTCAGAGCTAGGTGAAATGGGCAGAAAGGAGGAATATTTCCGAAAACCCAAACCACAAAAGATCAGCTAATGTGTGGCAAAAAACATTTCCCTTGGCGTCTTGGTTTGTAAGTAATGTAAAAGTTAGGTTTCGTTTATGATCGTTAGTGTTAGAAAAGTGTGAAAAAATCTGTGGATTAATGAAATCTGCAGAGACCAAACTGGAGATGTCATTGGTATGAGTAAGGAAGCAGAGACACGAGGAGAAAAATAGTAAGAAATTCAGGGCACTGAACCACGTAGGCTCTGTTCGCCTCTCTCACCAATTTTTGCTGATGTCACTCCGCAGATTTCGGAGATTAATCATGATTTCCACAGCAAACCGAGGGGAAAGCTTGAATATTGAATGAGAGTAAAATGCAGATAGTGCTAAAACTGAAAGAGAACAAAAAGCAAATGTGGAAAACAAACTGAACATATGCTTGGAGTGCACCGTGCCTGGGGAAAAACAAGCCAATATCAAATTTTGTGCTGCGTGCGAAGAGGCATTTTTTATTGAAATGGAGAAATAACGTTTTGCATGTTTCTGTTTTCTCTCTAGGAAGGCTGCACTCAGAAGTGGGCAATCTGTCCCAGGGACCTCATCAGATACCATGTATGGGCAAGGAGAGAAAGTTCTCAGAAGAATGAGAGTGCTGTTGTGCTTGAGGGAATGACTCAGGCAGAAGAATGGGAGAGGTAAATGTGCATCCCGGGGCTGAGAGAAGACTAAACTATACTGTAAAGGTGCTTGTGTTTGAGGGATACACAGCAGGGAAAAAGGAAATCTTTAAGGTTTTAGAATGAAGATTATCTAAAAGATGCCATCCAGGTGGAGCATGAGGGAAATTACCCTTATCATGAGATATACTGGATTGTGAACAGTTTCTAAATGAAGCAGTGGAAGCCTGAGTTCAGGCATTACGTCTAAATTTGTATCAGTGGCCACTGAGCACCACTGATCTGGTGACCAAACAGGGCTCTGATCAGACCGCTGTTGGCACATGGACATCAGCTTCCTATGAAGATGAATTGTCCCTGTTCAGTGTGTCTCCTCTTTAGAAAGATTACCTTCCTTTCATTCATTTACATCATCTTTGAAAGATTCTGGAGAATGGGGGAGATGCCAGAGGACTGGAATTCAGCCAATGTCACGCCAGTCTTCAAAAAAGGCAAAAAGGCAAAAAAGGCGGGAGGACCCAGGCAATCCCAGGCCAGTGAGCCTCACCTCTGTCCCTGGAAAAGTGATAGAACGGCTCATACTGGCCATTGTCTCCAAGCGCATGGAGGACAAGAAGGTGCTCAAGAGTAGTCAGCATGGATTCACCAAGGGGAAATCTTGCTAGACTAACCTGATAGCCTTCCATGAAGAAATGACCGGCTGGGTAGATGAGGCGAGAGCGGTGGATGTCGTCTATCTCGACTTCACCAAGGCTTTTGACACCGTCCCGCACAACATCCTCCTGGGCAAGCTCCGGAAGAGTTACCCAGTGTGCAGGGTGTCACCACCACAGCACAGCTTCTATTTTTGAGCAACTTTGTCCACATGCTACGGATGGTATTGGTGGTTTGTGAGAGATGGGCAGACCCGTATCAGCCGACAGCTATCCGGCTGCCAAGTTGCTCCCAAAATTGTATAATGTCATTGAGTGTTAAAAGTTGTGCCATGCAGAATCAGAGAATGACCAGGGGGCAAGCCCAGCTGGTTGGGTAGTGATTCCCTGGATTATCTAAATATTTCTGAAATCCTTGGTGTTCAAAGGAGACCTTTGAGTTGTCTGAAGTGTGCCTAGGTGTGTGTATTTCCTGCATATAGCATATAGCATGGCTGTAGCCAAGTTCAGAACAAGTATTGTGTCCAGTTCTGGTCTCCACAGTACAAGAGGGATGTGGAGCTGATGGAGAGAGTCCAGCGCAGGGCTACCAGGATGCTCAGGGGCCTGGAACATCTGCCCTATGAGGAGAGGCTGGGGGAGCTGGGCCTGTTCCGCCTGGAGAAGAGAAGGCTGAGAGGGGATCTAATCAGTGTCTATAAGTACCTCAAGGGAGGGAGTGCAGAGGACGGTGCTGGTCTCTTTTCAGTGGTGGCCACTGATCGGACTAGAGGAAATGGCCGGAAACTGAAACATCAAAAATTCCCTAGGAACTTAAGGAAAAATTTCTTAACAGTGAGGGTGACAGAGCACTGGAACAGGCTGCCCAGAGAGGTTGTGGAGTCTCCTTCTCTGGAGATCTTCAAACCTGCTTGGATGCAGTCCTGTGCCACGTGCTCTAGGTGACCCTGCGTGTGCAGGGGGGTTGGACTAGATGATCTCTAGAGGTCCCTTCCAACCTTAAGCATTCTATGATTCTATGATTCATGATCCAAAGCAATGAAATGTTTTATTATCTTATGTGAATACCCATGAAGATGCATTTTTATTGAAATGCCTAGATACCATCTTTAAACTTGTGGTTCTGAAAGGCCATTCCTAGCTTTTACTGCTCTAACTCTGAAATAGTAATAAAAAGCTTAATTAGATTTATGTACAAAGTGCACTAAACACCAAGTTTAGTAGATTCTTCCCTTAGAAGAATACGGTCACTTGGGCTGCATGTAGAAGAATGAAAATCTGCAAGAGAACTTGCAAAAC